CATATTTAATGTTTTTAAATAGTCTGGTTGGACTTTAGAACGTAAGTGTTATGTATGTCCAACCACTGCTTACCTTGACATGCAATGTTAGACGGAATAGGGTCTGATTGAATAAAAGTCAACGTTTGATTAAACCATGATATGGTAGCGCTTCATGAATTCATCCGTCATAGGACTGATGCATATTGGTAGGTACAGGCTACTGGATTAGGGTTCACGTGATAGTCGTCATCAGTGGTATGAGTTTTTAGGCAACACAGCCTTAAATTGGTCTCATTAATAACGAAGACATTCATTTTTTTATCTTTTTCTAAATACTGAACTTTAATGTTTGATTATTTCATACTCTTATTTCATGAACTACTCTTTTTAAACCATATTTTTTATTTATCCGTTTTTACTATCATTATTAGTTTAATGTAGTATGATATATTTTATTTGATTCACATTTCTGCTAGGATATACGGTGATTATGACTGACTGTCCTGCCTTTAACAGTGATTTGCTTTCTGACTCCTGACCTAGTGAACTCCACAAGTCACTGTTTATCACTAAAAGGTCGAAGAATCCGTTACAAATCCAGTGTTTCCTTTTTTATTGTATTTCAGCTGATGATGTCAATTTGTGATGAATATTGTTGTTATATTGTACAATAAGGTTACCACAATCATTTACTTTTCTTTTGATGGTTTATATCACTAAATCATCGTATTCAAATAACCACTGAAAATCAGGAAACACTGGGAAGCCGTTACTTACCAATCTGAGACTCCTTGGCAATACTTCCAGGAACCGAGACGAGGTTCTCCAAGTTTCACAGAAAGCATTCAACTTTAAACCACTAAGTGGGCATCCGATGTTTTATATTTCTACCTTCAATCAATACATGTATTATGCAACCATCCTTCCCTCTCATTGATAGTTAACCGACTCCCACCTAATTCTTTCGACTCCATTAGTCACAGCCTCTGATTAGAACCTCAGGAATTACCTCTCGAAGTTACTAACTAGAAAAAACTGACTGGTTCTAAATAAGTTCAGTTCATGATGTAAACTATAATAAAATTAAATAATCTTCACAAACTCTTTACGTCTTGTTAACAGTAATACTAATATAGTGTATATTCACTTGTTCTTTAAAATAACATTTACACTTTAATATTTCTTCCTTTCATTTAGTTTAAAATGGAATATTTTAACTTTCTCATTGAACAACTATCAAATCACCTGTATACTAAAACCAAATACATGTATTCAAATAAAATAATCACTTATTCATATTAATAATCATGGACAACAAGTTTTCTGAAAAACGAAACAAAGACTTTGTAACAAATTTAAATTGGTATAAATAGAAGTATGGAGGTGCCAATATTACTTTTCAATTAATTTACTTCACAGTAAACTTAGTAAATGAAAGAGTTGCTGCTAAACAACTGTCTAAATTTAAGTTTACGGAACATTACATACATTTAATGGTGACTTGATAGTTACGAGATGAAAAAGTAATGAGTTCAATTATACGTTCGGTCATGGAATTGTGGTTTAGAAAAATTTTGAACAAGTATTCAACGACCGTTCATTCCTCCTTGATGGCTTTTTAGTTGATATTTTTTTAAGAACAGTATTCTCAAATCAACTTAATAAGGAAATACATAAATAAAAAGATTATGAAATTGGGTTTATTTTATCTAATATTTGTCATAACTTCCAATCTTTGTCAGATTTTTGTCCAGCCTAGAAGTTCGTAGTTGTTTTTGAGAAAACGCAAAGAATAAGTGAAGTAGACCTTAAATAACGACTCTGTAAGAACATACTTAAATTTTAATGATATAAAAGATAAACTGTAGATAATAACCCACTAGTGTGGATTACAAACATTCCATCTAGAGCCCTGCTAGGGCGAGCGCTGGTCTCAAGCCCGGATAAAAGGGAAAGGCTAGACATGGGGTTAGCAAACCCACCACACAAAAAGGAACCTTGCTATGTTAAGCAGAAAAAAATCATTCACACTACTCAAACTCTGTTCTGAGAGTTGAAGAGTTATGACGAAGGTGAAGGTCGATATTCTTCGGGAATCACAGGCTTGAAAACACTTTGACAACTAGAGCAAAAATTGATACTGGTACATAGGATGTTCGAACAGTTTGGGAGACCAGGAGGATCATTCAAATAGAAATGGAAATGAGAAAATTCATCCTCGCTATGTTTCGAATAAGTAAAACCCATTGGACATAAGCTAAACAAAAGAGAATAAATTCAGGAGACCCATTGTTGTGTTCCGGCCATGAAGAAGAAACTTTTTCACATATACAAAGAGTTGCACTAACGCTGTTCAATGAAGCACGAAAGATGCTTATAGAATGGGATCTCATGGATCCAGGATTATCAAACACATCCTTCTAAACAAAGAAGGGAAGGATTGTTAGCGTTTTCTGGTTAGCGTTTTTGTAGCGAGTTAGTTTTCTACGGATGGGGTCGCTAACCCCATGCCCACCCCTCCTCCTTTATCCGGGCTTAGGACCGGCGGTAGCCCCCGGAGGGACTCCAGGCGGAGTTGAAGGGAAGGATTACAATCAATATTATCCAGTGCTACTCACGCACCAATGATGCCAACGAAGATGTTAAAGATCAGTTTTATGAGAGGCTACAGTCCATCATAAAGAATTCCAGAGGACAACACTTGACCATTCTGAACGCCAAGGTTAGTGTGAGAAACAGCAGGTGTTTGAGGTGAAATGGACTGAGAGAAAGCATCGAGAACAGTGAGCGACCGGCAAATACGTATAGTTTCAACAGTGAAGCTATAGGTGGCACTACTTCCACTACAGACGCATACATTATTCTAAATGGATTTCATCGGGTCACGCTACAGCGAACCAGGTCGACCAAATCTGCATCGAAAAATATTCAGAAGGTTCATGGAAGATGTAAGAACAAAGAGAGGAACTGATATAGCTTTGGGTCACCAACTGGTAGCGGCTAGGCTAAAATCAAAGCTAAAGAAGCATTTGGTAATTAAACAAGCGGCCCTTCAAATGCTTAATATAACTTTCTATCGAGATGCTAACAAGCTCAGGGAATTAAAAATAACTCTCAACAACATGTCCCAAGTCTTACAAGGTCTGATAATAATAAGTTAAAAACATTATGGAAAACAACTGGAAAGAGAATAATGCAGAGATAACTTCAACATACCTGGAGTTGTTGGCCTGTAAGAGGCTCCAGAGTACGGAATAGATTTCTGTAGACAGACTGAGCAAGACTCAGAGTAGGAAAACAATAAAACAGCTGTCAACAATCGCCGAACAAATGCAAAAATGTCAGGACACAGGCCAAATATACAAAGTCAAACTAGTGAGTGATGGAAAGCATTAGAGTCGACGAGCGGAAATAGGTAGAAGACCTAGCAATGACAGCAGGAAAGGCTGCAAGCGAAGTATGAAAGAACTATATGGTACAAAAATAGCTCACAGGGAAACATGCAAGACCAGAGCGACCAGTCGTGAACAAAGAAGGCAAATCAGTCACTGAGGTTCATGAGCAGCGAAATGAGTGGTTAGAGCAATGTGTAGAGCTCTTGAATAAACCAGCCTCAAAAAACCCACTGGACATCGAAGCAGCAAACACAGGCATCCTCATACGTAACACCCGTCTAATAATTGAAGAAATAAGCAAGGTCATCATTCAAGTCAGGAATGGCAAAGAAGCAGAACCAGACAACATACTAGCTGAATCACTAAACCTACACATAAACATAACTACAAAGTAGTTCCATGTTTTTCTCGGAAAGATTGTTGAGGAAGAACAACTACCAAAAGATCGAGAAGAGGGGTATGCTATCAAGATACCAAAGAAAAGAAATCTTAATGAATATAAGAACTACAGAGGGATCATTCCACTCTTATTATCAAGAGAAGTTTTCGATAGAGTGTTACTCAACCGTGTGAAGGATTCAGTAGATGCCCATCTTTCAAATCAGTAAGCTGGATTCCGTACGGATAGATCATGTACCGATCGAAATACGACACTAGATCGTCATTGAAAAATCGAACGGATGTAGGTCATCACCATAGATAAGCTTTCTTGATTACTAGAAACCTTTCGACAACCCAGATATGAAAACCTTATGGACCATTTTTATATAATCTGTAGTACCTAAGAAGATATTTACTATCATACAGGACTCCTGTGAAGGACTACATTGCTAAATTGTGCATGCAGAGCAGCTCACGAATGCCTTCCAAGTGAAACTAGGTTTCAGAAAAGGGTGTCTACTATCGTCTTTCTTTTGTTTGCTTGCTGCTGACTGGATTACGAAGACTACCACATCTCAAGAGATCCATGGGATAAAGTGGAGATCTTGGACAAAACTGGACGATTTAGTCTTTGCAGACTACTTAGCCCTCATACCGAATATATACCAATAAATGCAGTCAAAGACTGTCTCTACAGCAGTAAGCCTCAACATTCACAAGAGAAGAGACAAGATTTTTAAATGTATCAAAGCCAGCACTAATCGAGTCACGCTTGATGGCAAGATTAATTAAAAAGTATAAATAGAAAGCGAATCGATACCACCAACCATGATTAGAAAGACCAAAACCTGAGGATAAAATGGAAATGTATGTTTGAGGGAATATTCTGAGCCATGTCAACGAATGTCTTTAACCACCAATCCTAGTTGTCAAGAGGACCTCAACCAGGTTGTCCGGATCTACAAATATGGCCCAGTTCAACAGTCAGTGACTTCGTGGACTGATATCACGTCTTCGTCTAACCACCCTTCGATTTCTCCTAACTTACTCCTTCTCTAGATACTATCGTTCGTCGAGGTAGGTGGTGGTTAGGCATAAATAACACTCAATCATGTTGTTGCTTTAATAATCAAGGTGATTACACATATATTACAAAACTAATTACATTAAGCGTGAAGAATTCAATTTGTATTACGTTATTCATATTCTCTCTTATTTTTTTCCTTTTCTTAATAATCATAGATTCAGCATCAGATACTCGCCAACCACGTAGTCCGACACGTTTGGGTTATTTAATACGTGTTGGTCAAAGCTTAAATTTAACATGTCCTGGTGATGCTGTGTTTTATCAATGGAGTCTTGTTGATCAACCATCACAAATCTTATCAGAAGAACAATTTTACACAATTAAATCAGCTACATTGAAGGATTCTAATCGTTATATATGTCACGCTGTACATGGTTATGGAAGAAGTTCCGTTGAAATGTCTGTTCGTGTTATAGGTAATTGCTTGTAAACATCTTTATAATGCTTATACAATGCTTCTTCGTTTTTCTTCTTGAAACGGACCTCTTCAGAAGACCTTGCCGACATATTTGGACTTGAGAAGTTGATCAATTCAAGAATGAAGTAGTTTTGACTCATACCAATGATGGTGGAATATAGTTATGTTTTATCATGAGTTTACTGAGGTTGAATAAAAACTTATGAGCTTTTTGGATTTCGACTTGGTGACTGCGTGTTGTGATTAATTGCCAAGATATTTCGAATTCTTGGGTTCTATTTTTTGTATAGATTTTTGGGTAGGATCGACGAACTGTTCAAAATGAGGCTAAACCAGATCTTTATTTCACCCCAGAACCACTAGTTTTTCAGCTAATATCAGCATACAATTAATAAATAAACCACCTTGCTTCTTATTACTTACTTACTTACGCCTGTTACTCCCAATGGAGCATAGGCCGCTGACCAGCATTCTCCAACCCACTCTGTCCTGGGCCTTCTTTTCTAGTTCCATCCAATTCTTGTTCATTTTTCTCATGTCTATTTCCATTTCTCGGCGTAATGTCTTATTTGGTCTTCCCCTTTTCCTTTGGCCTTCAGGATTCCATGTGAGGGCTTGTCTTGTGACGCAGTTGGGTGCTTTCCTCAATGTGTGTCCTATCCACTTCCAGCGCTTCTTCCTGATTTCTTCCTCCGCTGGGATCTGGTTTGTTCTCTCCCACAGTACGTTGTTGCTAATAGTGTCCGGCCAACGGATCTGAAGTATTTTGCGTAGACAACTGTTAATAAACACCTGTATTTTCTGGATGATGGCTTTCGTAGTTCTCCAGGTTTCTGCCCCATACAGTAGAACTGTCTTGACATTTGTATTGAAAATCCTGACCTTGGTGTTGGTTGACAGTTGCTTTGAGTTCCAGATGTTCCTCAGTTGTAAATATGCTGCTCTTGCTTTGCCGATCCGCGCCTTCACATCTGCATCAGATCCACCGTGTTCATCAATGATGCTGCCCAAATACGTAAAGGTTTTTACATCTTCCAAATCTTCTCCGTCAATTGTGATTGGATTGGTGCATTCTGTGTTGTATCGGAGAATCCTGCTTTTCCCTTTGTGTATATTGAGACCTGCTGCTGCTGAGGCTGCTGCCACACTGTTCGTCTTTTCCTGCATTTGTTGTTGCGTTTGGGATAGAAGGGCCAGATCATCTGCGAAGTCCAGATCGTCCAACTGCATCCTAGATGTCCATTGTATCCCGCGCTTCCCTTCAGACGTTGACGTCTTCATGATCCAGTCGATCACCAGGAGAAAGAGAAAGGGTGAGAGTAAGCAACCTTGCCTGACACCGGTCTTTACCTCGAACGAGTTTGTCAACTGTCCTCTATGCACAATTTTGCAGTTTAATCCATCGTAGGAATTCCGTATGATATTGACTATCTTCTGAGGCACGCCGTAGTGTCGAAGAAGTTTCCATAGTGTTGTTCTGTCCACGCTATCAAATGCCTTTTCGTAGTCAATGAAGTTGATGTAGAGTGATGAATTCCATTCAATTGATTGTTCCACAATGATCCGTAGAGTTGCGATTTGGTCTGTACACGATCTATCTTTACGGAATCCTGCCTGTTGGTCCCGAAGTTGGGCGTCTACGCAGTCCTTCATCCTGTTTAACAATACCCTGTTGAAGACTTTTCCCGGTATTGAGAGAAGAGTGATGCCCCTGTAGTTATCACACTTGCTGAGATCGCCTTTCTTCGGTATTTTGTCCAGAAGTCCTTCTTTCCAGTCTTTTGGTACTTGTTCCTCATCCCAAATCTTATTGAAGAGAATGTGGAGTATCCTTGCAGTTGCCACTACGTCTGCTTTTAGTGCCTCTGCTGGAATGTTGAGTTTCAATTTCATCTTGGCGACCAGCAAGTGATGATCTGATGCTATATCAGCTCCTCTCTTGGTTCTCACGTCCTCTATAGTCCTCCTGAACATTTTGTTGATGCAAATATGGTCGATTTGGTTTTGTGTAGAGTGATCCGGTGAAGTCCATGTGGTTTTGTGTATGCGTTTATGTGGGAATATGGTGCCGCCTATGACCAGCTTATTGACGGCACATAGATTTGCAAATCTCTCACCATTTTCGTTCTTTCTCCCAGTCCGTGTCGTCCCATGATGTCTTCATATCCAGTGTTGTCCGTTCCAACCTTGGCGTTGAAATCTCCCATCAGAATAGTCAGGTCCTTTTTTGGGCACTTCTCGACGATTGACTGCAACCTATTGTAGAATTGATCTTTAGCGTCTTCATTGTAGTCGTTGGTAGGCGCATAGCATTGGATGATGTTCATTGAAATACCCTCTTTCTTTGTTTTGAACGAGGCTTTGATGATCCTTGGTCCATGAGATTCCCATCCTATAAGCGGATTTTGCGCTTGTTTGGACAGCATCAGTGCAACTCCTTGTGTATATGGTGCATTTTCATCTTCATGGCCGGAGTATAACAGGAGCTCTCCTGTAGTTAGTCGTTGTTGTCCAACTTGTGTCCAATGTGTTTCACTGATCCCAAGTACCTCTAGGTTGTATCTTCTCATTTCTGCAGCAATTTGGAAGGCTCTCCCGGTGTCCCACATTGTACGAACATTCCATGTACCTAAATAAATGGTTGCTCTGGTTGTCAGAAGGGGCATCGGCCTCGTAACTTCCGAAGGAATTCAGCTTTCATCATGAGGCGTCATAATTCTTCTAAATGAAGATCTCCTGACTCCAAGGGTAGAGTTTAAATGGTTTGAATATTTTTTTCTGGTTAGCGTTTTTTTAGCAAGTTAGTTTTCTAAGGGATGGGGTCACTAACCCCATGCTCAACCCTCCTCCTTTACCCGGGCTTGGGACCGGCAGTAGCCCCCGGAGGGACTCCAGGCGGAGTTTGCTTCTTATTATACTGAATAAAAATATGATCTATCATATCAAACACGACAATCATCAATTATTATCGATAGGCGATTGCCTCTTTTTTCGACTTGGTTGACGCCACAGATACAATTTCCTTTTCGAATCTCAGAAAAATTAAAAGATTAAATTTTAACATAATAGACCTGATGATGTACTGTTTGTCATCGGATCTGAAGTTTGGTGACCTGGGTCCAACACTTTGTTGTGTATACACACCTGAAGAGCCCCAGATTTAAATTAAATAGCTAACCCGATGTTTTATAATTTTTGCCGATTCTTATATAAGTCTGTGATGTGGAATATTTTTCACTTAATTACTTCCTTACTTACACCTGTTACTCCTCGTGAAGGAACATAGGCCGCTCGCCAGCATTCGCCATCCAACCCTGTCCTGGGCAATCCTTTCTAGCTCCGTCCAGTTGTAATTCATCGTTTTCATATCTGCTTCTATTATCCGACACAATGTGTTCTTTGGCCTTCCACTTTTTCGCTTCCCTTCAGGATTCCAAGTTAGGGCTTGTCTAGTGATGCAGTTTGACGATTTGCGTAATGTATGTCCTATCCATTTCCATCGTCTTTTCCTAATTTCCTCCTCAGCTGTAAGCTGGTTTGTTCTCTCCCACAAAAGGCTGTTGCTGATGGTATCCGGCCAATGGATGTTGAGTATCTTGCGTAGACAGCTATTTATAAATACTTGCACCTTCTTAATGATGGTTGTTGTAGTTCTCCAAGTTTCAGCTCCGTACAGTAGAACTGCCTTGACATTCGTATTGAAGATTCTGACTTTGATATTGGTTGAAAGTTGTTTTGAGTTCCATATGTTCTTCAATTGTAGGAATGCAGTCCTTGCTTTGCCGATCCTCGCCTTTACGTCTGCATCTGAACCTCCTTGTTCATCCATGATGCTTCCTAGGTATGTGAAGGATTGTACATCTTCCAGAGTTTCGCCATCGAGAGTGATTGGATTGTTGTTTTCCGCTTTGAATTTGAGGACTTTGGTTTTCCCTTTGTGTATGCTGAGGCCTACTGATGCAGAGACTGCTGCTACACTGGCTGTCTTTATCTGCATTTTTCAAAAAAATTTTTATTTTTTATTTTTTATTTCTGGTAAAAACCAGAAAAAAAATTTTCACTTAAGTAATAATAATTTCGTTTGTTTAGCACATCATTTTTATGCATTAACTTTTAAATAGGGTCATATTCTGTTTCTTATTTTTTTAATAAAAAGAATATAATACTTATTGTAATCTATTGAGTCAGAAGTTATCTCTCTATTTAGTTTTCGGGAAGGAAATTGTACGTTATAGTGTCAAGGTCGTAGTTATTAATATCACTATTCTCAAGTTTACACAAAATTTTTCTAAAAATTAATAAAATAACGATAGATGGTCGTCATGAGAATTGATTGATTATCCGTATATATATATATATATATATATATATATATATATATATATATATATATATATATATATATATATATATATATATATATATATATATGGTAGCCCGTTGTCTTCGGTAGGTTTGCCTCTTGTTGTTGTGATATTCATCACATCTTGGTAGTCTTACCATAATTGTAACAGTATGTGATAAGATGCAAGATACACTTACGTTTAGTGGTAACTGCAGCCGACAGCAATCATCAGACATGGGATTAAGAAAATCTGTTAATTGAAACCAGAAGTTAGTAGAGTTAGGTTGAAATTGGTCAAAACACGAATATTTGGGATTCATTCCTTGAAACAAAATAAGAAGTGGATTAGCCTCCATTGTTCAATAGTGTATGAATTTTTACCGAAATTTTGAGCTATTCATGATAGTAATCATGTTTATTGAGGTCTCATCTAATTTGCATCGATACGCTAGTGATTTTATGCTAGGTGATTGAAAGCAATCGGCAGAATACCCTGGCTGATCTATGTTTTTTGGCTATATTGTATTTGTCAGTCAGATTTGTCTTTAACTTTAAATAAACTAGTAACCTTCATGAGATTCAAGCCTAGTATCTTGGTTATCGACGTTACTATAAAGTTCTTTATCAGAATTGTTACGAAACCTAGATTATGGACTTTTGCCGATCGACTTCACCAGAAATGCACTACAGTGGTGTTGAGTCATTTAGACAAACATTTCAATTTAACTGAAAAAATTCATTCGGAACTAAATCTTAGATGATATAAAACTAATTTCTATTAAGTGATTTATTATGCTCAACCTGATCTCGATTTTACACTGAAGTTTTCTAAAAAAAAAAACCTCTCTAAATCTAATAATCTACCATACTTTAAAAAAACAATCTTACTGCAATGGTAATGCACTAATAATAATGATAAATATACAGTTCATAAATTATATACAGCTTCATGTAGACTATATATTTCGTCTTTAAACAATAAGATTTGGTAATGTAACTAGGCTGTTTAAATCTTATGAAATTGAATTATGCTTAAACTTATTACTTATGTGAACCAATGATGACACAGTAGTTGCAACGATGATAATCTCTAAAAATAAATAATAATGCATTAAATTAATTCTGCTAGGAAATATACAATCCATAGTATGTCAAATAGTTGCTAATGTTGAATACATACATCCAGAATTTTTAAGTTGAATAGTGAATTACCCGGTTAGTTTTAAAGATTAAATCAATTTCAGGACTAAGTTAAGATGGAGAATGGGTTTAAACTAGGAATTACTAGACAACTGCTTTGTTTTAGAGTGAGACTCCTTAACAGTTAGTGCTCAATACCTTACTAGAGAATAAAAAGTGAACCTTCAGGTTTCACGGTAATCGTGATACCCTTCGCCCAGCAAATACATGATATTCAATGGCTAACAGTTTCAATTTTAATCACTTCATGTTGTAGCACGATAATTTTTCTATGTTGTCGGTAGTAGCTGTTCCATTATTGTCTTGAGTAAATCCCCATCAGTTATTAGTTTTCACTAGAACATTAGATTTTATTCTCATGAGGATATGCAGATTACTGAGAAGTTCCAAATTAGTACAAAACAGTTAACCTTAATGCTTCAAAGTTTTATCTACAATTCAATATTCTATGTTTTCTTTAAAAAAACAAAAACAATAATTGGTTGGAAATAATTGACAAGAAGCCTTGAACATCATTGTATTTAAATCTATGCTCCTATTTATTTAGATTAGTTCATACATGTACTTTGCAATCTAACCGTGTTGCCAAAAGTACCTATCCTTTTTCTAAGAAAAATAAATAGTACTGTTTATCATTATTTACCTTGTTTATGTATTGTATATGATCGGAAAAAGAAATGTACCATGTACTTTGATTTATAATATATTGAAGATAATAAATACCAAAAAAAATAATCATAGAATTAACATCTTAATCAATTTTATTGATATAACTAAATAAATTGATATGATAATCCATAACGGATTGCATTGAACAATTACTTCATATACATCCAGTACCATATATCTAATTGAGCTGCGAGAATATCAGATGATAACTATGTTGTGACTGTGAGTTATCATTGTTCTCGAGGAAAAGTATGATTTTTATACACGTTATAACCCAAGTTGTGAAAAAAAAATGACTGAATTGTTTTTACACTGATTGATTTGATAGCTGAATAAATTATCTAATAAGAGACTATTCAAACAACGCATCGGCATACATTTGAATCTGAGATAAAAAAAATTCTACCTTTCTAGTCAATAAATGGACGGTGATGTCAACCCTAAAAGGCCATGCTAGCCACAGTAGAAGTGTAATTAGAAAACCCTTAAACTGAATCGTGTGTAGAGCTATGGGTTTAGTGTTACGTAGTATGTAAATCAGTAGTATAATGTTAGTTTATTAATCTATAATTCATATTTTATGTATGTACAACAGGAGAGGAATGAGGGCAATAATTTTATTGTCAGAACACCTCACATAAAGTTGATATAGTGGAATTCGAACCTGAGATTAACAGTTGTGAATTCAATTTTCTGAAACACTTCCGATCTCTCAGCAAAGTGAAATGAATAGGAGAACGTAAAGACTTTGTGAACTATTTCCCACAGTTTAGACCGGTTTCTAACTCTCACAGGTATTGCAAATTTATCACCCCGATTTTTCAGTCTTTTCCGTGCTTATGTGAAATATAGAAGATTGGAGCGAAAGATATCCATCTGTCTCAAATAACTGATTATTGTCGTCTATTTATTCACTTCGAATTTACTTTCCGTTAGCTGGATGGACAATAATTTGACAAAAAACATTGGACAGTTGTTTCATCTCAAGTTTTGAATTAATCAAAATGGTACTGAGTTAAAATCTAAGGGTTCATTTTCTGAAATTTAGTTAACTAATCGTTTTAATCATCTTTTGATTAGTGGTATCTGATTTGTTAACCTAATGGAATATAAAGTTTTAATCAAATGAAAAATGGTAATATATAATTTGACTGTATAGCATAACATCAACAATGTTTATCATTACTAACATCATTATTTCAATCATATTTACTGAAGAATTCTTATTATCACTTATTTTTCCTCCTGCCCCCCTCCAACTCTTCGTATTCTGACGATGATTTTTCGTTCTATTTTTGTCATTAGATTTCTCTTCAATAACAGCACAGCATGAATGTGCTGTAGGCAGTAAAACAGGGAATGTCAATACAAATGGTGAGTAGATAATAAAAGTTTTATTTTAATTTTACACAAATGTTTAATTAAGAGAGATGATGCCATCTTTTCTATCCTTCTATAAACATTTCGCAAATGCTTAATTCTTCATTGATATTCATACACGGATCGACATGGTTAGATATTATCTGTAACTCTTCCAGTGGACAACAAACATGCTTTATCCAGAATTATTTACCAAATTTTCCTCCATCCAATTTGCGAATGTTGCATATTAATGTGTGACTTTTACTAAAGATTCCACTTCAAGCGTCTGAGGCAGTTCGTAGTTATTTGTTATGAATATATCAGTGAAGCACAGGCCGAAATGCCGAATGAAAAATACAAATACAGTCTAATTTAGAGCTTGAGATGAAATCTCTATTTGACGATCGTGATATGCAGTCCTCACCTACTATATGGACGCAAAAGTAACTAGAAGTCCCGAATATGAAACGTTTAGTGAACAATACAAACCTTAAGGATAGCTTCAGCCACCGATATCAACTGCAAGAAAAGCCCATTGAAAATACCTGGAGAGAATAGAATAGAACAGAATATGGTTGTATATCATTCCAGTTTATAACTTTGTGTTAGTTGCGAATCACTGATAGAACTGTCAAGCTTCTTAAGGATTGTGGTATTATTTTTTTGTGATCTTATTCATGCTATCACCTTATAATTAATTTCTATTTACGGTCTCATTCATTTGACCATTCCTCCGGTTGTTGCTGTACCTGCTTGATTCCCTCAATATATTTAATTTTGACAATTGGCTTTTTTGTACTTCAACCAGACTACTACCTATAAACCGTGCAGTTTATTATTCAAGTTTTTTTCAAACTTTTTTTAATGAAAGGATTACATTTCAGATGTATGGTAGTGAAACTATAAAATAATCATAGTACTATTAAGAGTATGACTGTAAATCTTCGTTGACTAAATTAGTTGAAATATGTGTTACACACCCTTGAGGAGGACTAAATATAATTGGATTAAAACACCACATCCGTTACAATTGATTGACTGTTGAGTAGCGAGTGACCAATTTTATGTTTTTCCTATCTTTTAGCTCTGATCGAATTCCATCTATCAGATTACAATGTAACCACTTGTCTGAGTGACTCAATATCGCATATATAATGTTCCGAGGTTTGGTGGTTTGCGGTGATCGACAGGAAACCCTGTATTAACCTACATTCTGAGCTATTTATTACTGTTCAATAAGGCATACCTGCGATTTTGATGGAACTGATGGTCCCCATGGAATTCGAACCCTTGCCACCTTAGAATTGTAGGTATGCCTTTCTGACACTTGCCAACTACCATAATATCCATATCAATACACAACTTCCTGCCGATTGCCTCTAACCAACTAAGCGGAAATCGTATCATAAAATAACTAATTATTAAGCCAAATTATATATATATATATATATATATATATATATATATATATATATATATATATATATATATATATAAGTTAATCCACACAAGTATAATCTATAATCTATTACACAGACATATATGTATGTGTATTCACAATTTCTATTTTCCTTTAGATTTCAAGTGTTGATGTGATTTTTCATATACTTTATGCCTCAATTGTTTCCTTCTTTCTTTCAAGTGATATTATCGACATTCGGTTTCTTTTATGTATTTATTATCATTTCTGTTTCAGTTTTCTTTTCTTTTCATTAGTTTTATCTTTATTATTTTCGGCCAATAATTTAAACGATGTACAATTTGAACTGATGCATATCGATATAATATACTGTACATCTTATTTTAGTTATGATTGAGTAGCTTACTGATTAACTGATCGAATTCGTTTCAATGTGGAACATTTTTCTTTGTTTTTGAAAAGAAAAACTTATTCCCTAATGAAATTTACAGATATTACTAATTACAATATCATATGAAGTCTGTTATTTGAGAATATACTAGAATCGGAATAAATGTTCATGCTTTTCAATTAACTTGATTAAAAAAGAATACTGTCTTCAAAAGTAATTGATTTTCCGTGTGAATTTTTCTTCAAGTTGATTCTGTCCAACTAATCATTCAAGTAAATGTAATCTCTAAATAATATATTATGAAATAACGAATACTAATGTATTTATACGGAGGCTTATACTTATGTATATATGTGTGCATAGTCAACCACAAGCTTGTTTTTAATAATATCCAACTAGCCATATATTCTCTCTTTCACACACACACACACACACACACCTCACTTCATTAGTAGAATTATTACTCGCCATTGTGTTCTATTCGATTTTCATTCACGTAATTCAGCTTCATTTACTGTAGACGTGCTTGTTGTTGATGGTCAGTCATTGGTTATTCTGGTTGTTTCCGATATTAGTTCGTCTCTTGTTTATTTTGATTTTCGTATTGTTAGTTAGGTTTATTTCAATATCCAGATGGCATAAAAACATTTATGTACAAGTTGGAAATTTTCCCTGGGGAGATAAAGTTTATTGTTTCTGGTGTTTGTATGAGTGAATGCATCGGTGTTTACGACTGAATGATTGACTGAGTGAGCGAGCCAGTGAATTAGTGAGCATACAAAGGAGAATATTGAAGCATAAAATAAATAGTCGAATATTTGATTTTCTTATGCATTACGCTTAAGGATAGTAAAAGATCACTATTATAGGAGAAACTAGTTTAATAATAAGTTGAGGAAATAGCTATTTTTCCATTCCACCAGACGATAATATACTTTATTCTATTTTATTTAGACACATAGTCATTGGTACAAGGAGGCATCAAATGTATATTTACCATACAAATCACTCTATTCGTGTGAGGGCCGGAATACTGTCCAGGTGCCTGAACCGAAGCAGGTGGCCTTTTTAGGGGGCCACACCCCGAGTCTTTGACACAGGTTTAGTCCACAAGGCAGTGGAGCAACGTGAGGAGGTGCAGTCCCATGGTAGCCGGTGACCACCAATAGGTTCACACGTCATCTGTCCCTTCAGGATACTGGAGCCCATGTGCACCATTGGTTTGGAATCACGGTTTACCAGCTTCCTTAGGTGAACCTTCTGTGTCCACCAAACCGGTGAAATCGCCAGACATTCGCTTTTCGTTCTCTCAACTTCGTAAACAACAGTAATGCCGTGAGAAGGCAGAGAGTAGAACTTCCCTGACAGTGGTTCTATGCACGTGGACATGTGAGAGCATTTCGAGAGGGAGAACTGACTCTCCCCACCCTCAACCGTACCAGAACATTTAGGGGCCTCACTGGTGAATAACTATGGTGATATTAAGAGCCCGGCAAATGTTGTCCATTTGATAGAGTTCTACACCTGTTGTTTAACCGTGATCCAGTGTCACGCTTTTTGGTCTTTTTTCAAATAAGATTACTTAACTTGTGTACTGGTTTGGGCGTTCTACAAGGACCTGCCTTATTGTTTCCTGTCAACTATGCTCACCTTAAAAATATATACACTGAAGTTCTATGTTCCATCTCAAAGAGTTCAATATCTTCTCATATTAGACACTTTACAATAGACCGAGACAGTTGTTATTTAGTTTTTAAGTTGTTTAATATTAATACTTGTTAAAGAGGATTTAAAATTTTTCATCGATCATACAAGAGATCCATGGATTCTCATTTAAAACCATGATAAAATTCAGACAGTGTTGAACACTTGTTGTATTCTGGAGTTTATCAAAAATACGTGTCTGTTGGTTCTTATTTAAAACTGGGTGAAGTACTCTAAAGACCTTGTGATCATTTAATTCACTGAGTTTCATTTATTCTTAATTTCAATCAACTTATTTCTATAAGAAATAAATAGTTTTGAAAATTTAACCTTCCTTAATATCAACCTTTAAAGTATACCTGGTATTGATAGTAGAAAAACATGAAATTACAACTAACTTATCATGAACATCTCTAGAATGTTAAAAAGTGTAATATATAGTAAGTAACCAAATACAAGTTTCTTGGACTAGTGGATTTCAATATAATAATAATAATAATAATAATAATAATAATAATAATAATAATAATAATAATAATAATAATAGCAATTAACGATCCGTAAATATTTAAATGTGGTCTATTACTGTAACTAGTTTCATGGAGCTTGGTGAGTTTGTCGTAATAACCGGTTCCACAATCTAAATCCCTCAGCTTAAAAAAGATAATTGTATGAATAAAATTCCTGGATTCGACCCGTGATGGGGGGGGATATGCGAAGCTGTATCGTGTATTCAAGAGATCTCAAGTTTCAAGTATTTCTTTAAATTATTGTTAGCTTATGATGAAATCAGTTTTCAGTGTGAAAAAATCTTAAAATCTAACATTTATGTTAGTATAAATCAGCTTTAAGTATTTACAAATAGAAAAACATTTTAGAAACATAACAGTTTATTTGTTAATAGTCATAACCTAATCGAAATGAATCGTTTTTTAAAAATACACCTGTCTAATTCATCTTACTTCTCAAGGACTCTTCAATTAATGATGAACTGCTTCTAAGGTAATGGATTCATTAAAAAGTCCTAAAATTGAACTAGTAATTCAAAATATTTGTGCATCTATCCACTGTTCACCTGACGTAGGTATTTTTTTCTTACTGTCCGTATTATTGTAACCTTCTTAACCTTTGGTATGTTAAACTGACGGTTCTTTGTTTACTGAGGGAGTGTGCGAGGCAATATTCTGTAAAGGAGATGAACAATGGTAAAGGTGACGGGATGACTAATAACATAGCATATATACCTGAGTGTAGTAATGAAAGCAATCAATAACAATAAACGATGGGATAAACACAAAATTAAGATAATCGTTTAATTGAAACTAGCAGCTATTAAAGTTTGAATGCGTTACATTAAACAGTTTTAATACATTCATGGAAACTCAAAAAATAACCTTGGTAATCTCCTTTTAGTCAAATGGTTCGTTTCAAAATCCAATTTTTCAATGGGGATTTGTTACAATGAACTCAGTACTTGTATTCAAACTTTAAGGTTTGGTAATAATTATATAAATTTGTTTTCTTGAAACTAACAAAAATCCCAATTGTATCGTGTCTGATACAGACTTGAGTGGGAAAGAAGCTGATGAATGAGTGGTCAATATACTTCCAAATATCAAAGCTGAAAAACCAGTAAACTCCACCGATGAATACCAACAGCTGGGAGATTTTTGTCTCAGTCAGCTTCTATGGAATAAAGTCCGATCTTTTGTCATAAAGTGCTTGGTAGACAATAAGTGATTACTTCTTATTTAATAATAATTATTATTCATTAACTACTAAACCACAAATCGGATAAAACAATCACTATTAATGTACTCAGTTTTGTTCGTCCCCATTTTTTTCGAGTCTATTCTCACTAGACTAACTCAAATCAGTCTCATTGCTTTGTCCACCTCTTTCCTTTCCCATCCACCCACTGTGTTTTTATCTCACTAGACTATGTTCCAAATTTCCCCCTAACACACTACTCTCTTTCACTTCTTTCTACACTTTTTGACCATTCTCCCATATCTTCATCTCACCCAATGAACTACCTCGTTATCTCCTTTTGTTGTATAAGCGTGTGAGCATGTGTGCATACCTTTATATACTTCGCCACAAATGTGAATTTTCTTGTGGTTCTAAATATATAGACGTACACGTACACACACACATTACTTAACTCATTAATATTAACAAAACTATTGTAGACTATTTGTACAGTATATGTGTTTGTGTGTACTTGAATATAAACAAATAGTAATTTTCATCTATCATTCCACTTATCTTTTCATTTTTATTATTTACTCACTTTTCCGTTGTCTTTTATTTCATCGACTTGATTATCTAGGTGGACGTGATGATGACGATTATTTAAGATGAGATCATTGTGTAGCCATCTAGGCTCATTGAGTACTAAAGTGTGCGTATGATTGTGAGTCTGCATTTAAGAAATGTGAATTATAAGAACTCTTTACAAAACAGAATGTATATACACAATAGAGTGATAAGGCCGAGTCGGTTGAGATTCTTTTAGAGGTGGGGTGACTTTGTTTATTCCTTTGCTCCATTGTTCTCAACTTCCTCATGATTGACAGAAACTGAAACGGAATAAGAATTATGAAGTTATTTTAAGACTAAACTGATTGAAGAAATAGGTCTTTTCTGAGACGAAAAAAAGGCCCAGTGAGTACAGTACAAACAAGTATGTCATATTCTTATCTGCCACCAACTTTGAAGTTAATAGAGGGAAGGGAGAGATAGGAGAAAGTATTGTTAAGTTGAAGCTAGTGAGGATGAGGGAAGTATAGGACAGCACTCCTAGTTCAAAGTCTATGAAACAGCTTCAATTTATAGTTCAAGATTTTAGCCAATATCAATCTGATAATAGGTTATTCTTTATCTGCCTTTTCTAATAACTGAATATTTACATAATCTCATTTTCTTATTATCCCATCATTTCATTTCTTTTTTAACGAAATCACTTATATCTAATTTTTTACTTTTATTCTGGTGTTTATCTCTCATCATAAAGAGATGATCTGAGAAAATGTCAGCATGTTCAATTAATTTCTCAGCACTATCTTATGTGCTCGTCGTGTACTGAACAGTAGTTAGTTTTAACGTTAATGGTCTACCTGACACTTATGAAGTTTTTCATATTTTAAATTGGTCATCATTTTATCCAACCATATGTACTCTGGTCTGGTAGTGTTTTGACTAGATCTCAACATAGAACTTTATTGGTCTGTTTAGTTTGATGTGTAGTTGTAGTTGTACAGTTGTGAAACAGAATCGATCATATTTAATGCTTTGCACATTCATGATTCAGCAATCAGATGAAAGTACTAATTTTAATCCCCCTAAAAGATAAGCTTAAAAATTAGTCCTTTTGATTACAGAATAAATAAAAGTTGGTGTTGAAATCGACCAACCTCGTCTAATACTGTTGTTGGGTTAAAATAATGGAGAGAAGCACTTGTATGCCACTACCTTTACCTGATACATTTTGGTAATAAGATATCAGCCATAGTTTCCAAAAACACAACATTTGTTTTTCCTGGGATATAGGTGATTTCATTGAATCATAAAGCGATGCATAAATATGTGATCAATTATCTATGTTCTGAGGGAAAAATAGTTTTCTCTTGGCAAACTCATTTCTCAGAGGTTTTATGCGGTTGATGTGATACTACCCTGATAAGTAATCTAGATCCCTCTGATCGGAAGTTTATAGCACAATGACTTTCAC